TTAGAGCATTTTCTAAGCTTGTTTAATCCCATTCGACTTCTTCAAAAAAAGGCCTTAGTTGAGTTATTTGTTTCAACGAAGGTACATGACACTGTCCTGCGAAATTCTTGTATTTTTTAGCCATTACTGGAAAAAAAAAATCACAGCACTGAAGCAACTCGTGAAATTGTTAAGTATGAAGGTGTCCTTGACAACGCACTGCGCGGTGTTGGTTTAAAAAAATTTAGCAGTAGAGATCCGACGTTGGAAAGGAAAAAGGTGACCATTAGTGGATATTGCTGAGGTTCTGCAGGAAGCTGTTGAGTCAAATCCGCCCAAGAGTACTCGCGAAGTTGCCAGGGAGTGTGTTGTATCGAAAGATTCTGGTAGACGCCATCTACTCTCCATGAGGAAAGTGAAAAAGAGCAATAGACTGGTCCCTCAGCAATCAGCTAAAAGGTAGAAATTTATGAAAATATATGGAAAACCCTTGCCTCATCCACCAAATAGTCCAGCCCTCGCACCATCAGATTATTGCTTATTTAGGCCCATCGCCCTATTCTTCAAGGGAAAAAAAAATGATTATGAAGGCCCATCGTTCTGAAGGGCAGTGATAAGGCCGACATCACGCTCAATCGCTACTTTTTTCTCTTAATTATTTAATTAAAAGTGTACATTTTTTAGAGGCTGGGTGTGCCCTATGAATTTACGGCTGACATAAAAGAAAAAATAATCACATGTCACAGCCGGATTCGGAACCTTAATAAATAAATATATGTATAAGTATATTGTTATAGTATTAAAGGAACAATGCGGATATGGTACTGCAGTATAAGCTACAAAAGCCTATGAAGTAAGCTATTGGATAATACTCTTAATGTAGGTCAATACAGCCTTCCCATTGGCTGACTGACCCAGAGCCCGGATCTCATTGGTCCGCTGCCATCAATTACCAGCCCACATCTTATTGTCCCCAGCTCTTGCCAATCCAACTCTATCTGCTGTCCGAATAGTAATTGTCTTGTCAGCAATCAGGAGCTTGCTTCTTCTTTTACTAATGTGAACCCTCCAGTTGTTTTAACAACATAAAATATGTTGACATATTTAACTCATAATTGATCAGTGTTAGTTGCTACGTAAATTGTTATTGATCAATTTTGAAGAAAAATTAATACATACATTACAAAACTATTTATGTATCGATTATACGATGAGTTGTACGATTTACTCGAAAACCTTTTTTTTTTTTTTAAATTATGATAACTGCGTTTTTCAGAACGAAAATGTATGTCATAATTATACATCACACTACAGCGAAACTAAATAAAAATATTCTGTAATGGTTTATTTATTGTTTATTACCAAACAATTATATATCTAAAGTAACATTACCTTCCTAATTATAAAGAAAAATAATAAAAGATGATTCCAATTATTGGATTAAACTTTTTTTTTAATCATTAGTAATATGCTGAAAAAATTAGCATTACTTCTGAAACTCAATCAAAAATCAACACAAAGGATATAATCTTCGCAGTAGAACATATTAAAAAAAACTAGAGACCATAACTTTGCTCCTAATTGTCAGATTTGAACGAATTTCTTTTTGTTTTTTAGGTAATTCCGTAAACTTTTAAATAACATACATTACAATAAACCAAAAATAATACATATTAAAATTTAAATAAATTTCTAATTTTTTTTTTTACAGTTTCTATCTCAGTTTAATCCTTTTAGTCACTTCAGGAGATTTGTTTACTGTCAGCCTAAATTCAATCTTTCCCTAGCATAGCGAATCTTATCTTATGAATTATACATTAAAAATAGAATAACAAAAATTTATAAAATGACTCGTCTGTTTTGAAATTCTCTACTCCTCATATATTTATGACTTATTTCAGCGGTATATACATATATAAAACACCTATAATATGTTATATCCTTAGATAAAGTCAGTTACAATGACATGCCTATTCCGTTTGTAGGTTATCACAGAGAGGAAAAAAAGTTTATAAAAAATGAATAAAGGTCGTGGCAAACTTAAGAATGGTTCGTTTTTCAGATATCGCTTCCCTCTTATCTACATCCTGTCTTCCAATGCGACTACTTGACAGTTATTTTCTCAATTGGAAATTCTTTCATAACTGTACATAATTTCATTTTATTTTTTTTGGAGTATATTTGAATATATTAAATTAATATTAAATAATTAATTTCTTATAAAATATGAAAAAAATCATACTTAAGATTCTGTTCAATCTTTACTAATTTTTTTTTTTTTTTTGTTACAGGTGAGTCTTTGTTAATAATATTTTCACTTCAGTGGTAAGTTTTAAGTTAACATATTTTTATGACCTTGATAATAGTTTTGATTTTTTACTGATCACTAGGAATTTGGGTTTTACACAACTTTTGGAATCCAAAGGATATATACCTTTTCTAATGTTAATTACCTATAGCCTAAGACTACGTTCTATTACCCCTGATCTACCCAGACAGCTGGTCTTTTCCTAGATCGTTCCTTTGGACTGGTGAATGGTGAATGGATCATCTTGCCAAGTCTGTTCCAAGAAGAAGGTATTATTAGTAGCTCCTTGTTTCTGTATTTTTAGGAGGTCATCTGTATCTTTGTGTCGCTGCGTTCTGGCGAGTACATAGAGTTACATCCGTATCAACTTAGTTATTTATTTTACTTTTTTAGATGCTTTTATTTAACTTCGCTTTATTTAACTTCCAGAGCCATTAACGGCAACTGTTATTATATATAATGAATCAACTTTGTCAGTTTTAAGTATTTAAGAGTGGTTCCAGACTACAGATCTCCACTCAACTTACTAAACAAGCGACTGATCTACAACACTATACTAAGACCTATTTTAACACACGGAGCAGAACTTCGGGGTTCCGCAAAAAACACACACATAAACAAAATTCATACCACGCAATCCAAAATACTTCGTAAAATCGTCAGTGCCCCTTGGTTTATTTCAAACCTCACCATACACACAAACATAAACATACCAAAAGTAAAATCCTACGTACACAACATTTTATTCTTCTACTCTCAATCATCCGAATTCACTCGTTCTATCTCTATCTTCCACCCTCTTACCTGGTGAGCCTCAACGACGACTAAAAAGGCAATGGCCTAGAGATCGTCTACTGACAAGATAAGCAAGTATCCAGAATAAAAAAAGATAGAATAAACGCCAACACATTTGCTTAATACGTTACAACGCATTGTATTTTATTTTCCATTAAATATGGAAAATAAAATACAATAAAAAAGAATTGTCCCAATGTCATTTATTTATGCTTATGACGCGGTATACACACGATATATAGCTGTATGCTGACTTTTTTTTTTGTTCTGTTTATAAATTAAGGTATTTCGTAACACTTGTATATATTCATATATATTGTACATATGTATATAAATAGATCTAAATAGAAATAGCCTAAGAGACGCAGAGATGGAGGAGACTGATTAAAACGATAAAAAGTGTAGTCGAGGGAAAATAATAAGTATTCAAGGGAAATTTTCGTAGAACAAATAATTCACAAAATTTAAAATTTTTTAAGAATATCGAGGGAAGGAGGCAGGAATACTCCGTCACGAACTAAAGCTGTGGACTCTGAAGGATATTATTGTATTGTTTTTTTATTTTTGGTCAGAGAAGTTAACATTACACATTAATTAAATTTTCCAAAAAATAATTATATCTAATTTAGTACAAATCACGATGAATAAATTAATACTGAAGAATTTGATAAAGTGAGTACTTGATTAAACTTTTTTATAACGAGAAGAAATTCACTCTATATAAAAATTAATTCATTAATTCTCGTTTATTTTAGAACCATTTTACAGAGAACAAATTTAGACCGTGGTACAGACCTCTTTTTATCGAATTATTAAAATCCGCCTGAAACTTCATAAATAGCTTCATCTCATCGTAACCTACAACTATTTTATTTACGAAAACACTTGGGATTGGGGCGTTTTCAATCTAGAGGAGAGCAAACTTTATCTATTTAATTATGTTCTAAAAACTCGTAAATAGCGATTTTCTTTCTAGTAGGGTCGTAAGATAATTTGATCACAAAATTGTGAAAAAAATATGGCCTTAAAAAATACTGAGCCATTTGGCGTGACCTAGACCTCCAAATTTTCAAAATAACGAGGTTATATAGAACAAACGGCTCAATATTTTTGAAAGACCATCTTTTTTCTCGATTTTATGATCAAATTATCTTACGACCTAATCAGAAAGCAAATCAATATGTACAAGTTTTTAGTATTTAATTAAATAGACAAAGTTTGTCCCCTTCCAGATTGAAAACGCCCCAATTCCATGAGTTTTCGTAAATAAAATAGTTGTAGGTTGCGATGAGAAGAAACTATTTAAGTTTAAGTTTCAGGCGGATGTTTAATAATTCGATAAAAAAGGGTAAAAGTCTGTATGTACCACGGACTAATTGTTTTATATAATTCATTAATTGTTGAAATATCCTTCATTAGTATTTTTTGTTTTCATCTCCTACAAAGTTTTGTTGTTATTTATTCTTTCTGAAATTATAGTTCAAAACTTTATTTTTATCACTTCTCTAACATTGCTCTGTAAATGAGATTATATTTGTATCCTATACACAATATATATATATATATATATATATATATATATATATATATATATATATATATATATATATGCCTACATTTTTTTTGTTATTAAAATTTATTGAAACACACGATTTCTTGAAAAGGATGTCTACGTTGATAAAAACATATTTTTTCATGTTTATGACCTGAAAATTGGTGGATCTGAATTGCTGATCCATGTTTATAAGAATTGTTTCATTTTTAAAATTTCTGCAAAATCCGTTGGTTTTTTTCCTTTATTATTTTTTTTTTTTTGTTGTTGTTAAGGTAGGTAGACACCTTGTATTGTCAATTGTTTTTAGTATATTAGGTGTTTCGATTACACACAACCTTGCTTATCTTTCAAAATAAGCCTCGCTCAAAACCCCGACGCAAAGAGCAGGCCATGATCGTGGGCACTCGAGACCTTTGTCCTCGTGAGGGCGTGCGGTGAAGGGACCCAGATCTGAGATAAAGATCCTTCGTGACCAAAGTCATCCACTGGTCTCCTCCACTTCTTGCGCACTATAACAATGCTACAACACCTCTGCGTTGATGGATTAATTGTCCACATCCCCACGTTATTGCTGTTATTGCTCTATGTTTGTATTCCATCCACAACCTGTTTATATATCAAATATATATATATATATATATATATATATATATAAGTATTTATTTTTTAGTAATATATGATATAAGCTTATTATATAAGTAATTATAATCACTATTATTCTATACCTAACGTGCCGCCAAGCCTTTTGCTCCATGTGCAACAACAGGAAACCCAGAACAGGTGGGAGGACCAGGTGTTTGGAAAGATTAAAAACAACAAGTATCGACGATGAGGACTGCGTATAATATTTCAGCGACACGTGTCTCAGAACAAAATAACAATAATAACCAGAGTATACAATTTTGGTAAAAAATTGGTACAAATTTGGTCAAACAATGTCATTTTTTTTTATAAATTATTATACCAGTCACACGATTAAGAAATTCTGGGTTCTCCTGCATTCATGTTTTTTTCCGAGTCTGTTAAAGGAGTTCTCCTTGCTTATTTTAAATAGCGTTTATAAATATGCCTGTCCTTAAGATGTTTATTTAATATTTTAAGAATAGTTTTATTTCTCTCTACCAAAAGTAGAGGAATTCGTATGGAAGGATGTAAAAAAAAAAAAAAAAAAATGATCAGAGCTGACAAGTTTTCACTCGCGTTTTACATTTTCGAAATCAAGGAACAAATTTGGTTCCGTGCCTATCTGCGTATATTAATTTGTATTAGTTTGGTACCATATCAATTTCATCTAATGCGGTCCACTATTTTAGTTTCTGATTACGCAGACGTATTACGATACGATTTTTGAGCCTATCAAAAATGGCTCTTTCGATTAGGCTTAAAGGTGAAGGTAAGCGATTAGTGAAAAAAATACAGTAGGTATTTAATGATTTCTTTGGCATTCGTTTTATATTTCGTTTTGTTCGTATGTCTATTTATTATATTTTTAGATCGGCAGAAGCAGATCAATTTAATAATGATGATAATTAAAGGAAACAATTTTGTATGCATTTTCCTCTTGTTTATATTTAAACGAAAATATAAAATGTAAATTTAAGCTTAAACATGTAAATTTATAAATTATGTTTTGTTAACTATTTGATTTTAATTTATTTGACGTGATAATTAACTGTGCAAATAAATGTCCAATGAAAGTTTTCTCATGATTTTATTATAATTTGTTTTCATTATGTATGATATTGGTAGATTTATAATATAGGATGGAATATAATAGAGGGCGTTATTTAAAATGCCTTTCCTGTTTCGGCATTAAAACCTGTTCGTGATTAAATAGTTCTTCTTGTAGGCATCGTTGAGGGTGTATTCGATTTCTTATTCAAGTGTCTTAGCTAAACGACACTATGAAGTTAAAATATAGACTATTATTATTAAAGAATTTTTCTTCTCTCCTAGAGACAATTTCACTGCATTATTTCATGCAGTACCAAGAATTCCATAGCACCTAAATTTTTATGTCCCTATATCATCTCCGCATCGTAGTGGTTTAGAAAATGAAGTGCCATACTTTGAATTAATCGTGCCCGCGTAGAAAGTACATCTTTGACTCTCGCCTACCATCTGCGACTTGGAGACACGCTAACGGCTGAGATCTGGAGAGATATTGCAGAGTAAAAGCTAAAGATACACAATGGCACCCCACATTGTCCGCTGCGAAAGGTAGGCGGCGCAGAGCCGCGGGAAAACTGTCTATCAGGATCAAGGGGCGACTGGAGGAGACTTGACGGATCTGACAATAGAGGTTATCGCTGCTCCATCGGGCTTCCTCCAGCTGTTCTCCAACTTTGTATGCTAATCTTGCCCTCTTCCTGGAGCATTCCTTCCTTCTTCTTGTAACAGATTGAAGGATAATACAAATAGCCGAAACGGAGGCGGGAGGATAGTTTCTGACAGTGACAGCATTTATTTATTAAATTAAAATTTATTTTAATCTACAGCGCACTTTACAATATGTTCTGGCGTACATGTAGGGTGAGATAAAAAGTTAGCAGGAAATGTATGTTATGTTGCCAAGTTCGGTTAGCTTGTGCAAATGTTTTTTTAAGCATGTGTGCAACACATCTGGAGCCATAGTACTCACTCGCACTGATTGGGAGGGATTTGATCAACAATGGATTAATTATTATTCGTTTCAATTTCTTAAGACAGTTGAGCGTCAATGGTATCAACATTTTTTGAACTTGACCAAATCGTCTCATTACGATGATTTTGTTAACTTCCGAAAAATTGTCCACATAATGTTATCCACCTTTCACATAATTGTACCGTAAGATGGGGTAACTTTGGGACAGCCTGTAAAATTTAGTTTGTGGTGATTCCGTGGTGGATACACTGTGTTGGTTCAGTCGGCAAAAAAGTGCTTTGTGTATGCATATACTGCGCTACTACCTTGCGACAGTTTGAGAAACCTAGTTCACTACACTCGTTGTGCAGTTAGGTTTTATTTATTTCTATTGTTTTTTTCAAAATTCTTGTTTTGAATGGAACTTTCGCTTGTGCTTCAAGAGTAGTGAGCCGCAAGGTAATAGCGCTGTCCATGCCAACTAAACCAACATAGTGTATCCACCAAGGAATCCCCACTAACTAAATTTTACCCGCTGTCCAAAAATTACCCACCCATTCCCAAAGTTACTCCATCTTAAGGTATAACAATTTTTTCAGCTTCTTTTCAGGGAACTATGTAATAAAAATAAATTTAAATGTCTTCAAGAAGAAGTCCTTAGGAAAGTTTAAAAATCCTTACAGCTATTTAGATGCTACAATTTGTTACGATACAAAATTTTGAAACAAAATATCAGATGGTTAAGTCGAGTTCCGAGAATCAGCTTCGAGTGCCCTTTAATATTGAAACCAAATCAGAAAACAGCGGACGGATTAATATTTTTTTTTTATTAAAAAAGAGGAAAATTACTGTACGAAATATATTATTATAATTACACAGCCATGTTCATTTATTTAAAAATATTATTAATATATATTTTTCTAGAATAGGACCACCTCTGAAAAATAAAAAATATATATAGTTCATCGCTCAACCATCAAATTTTATCATACCTCCCACTATAGCTAGTAATAAAAGAATTGTACGAATTAAAAAACAAAACAAAGCGTGACCGAACAACGGCAAAACCATTACCACGAATCTCATTAATATAAATTGATCGCCGATCGTGAAAGGTTTATCTGGGAAGGAGGAGAGGGGGGTTTAGGAGGTTAGGAATAAAATATGTGACGGTCCTGAATTATATATTCTCCGACCGACCTGTTGCTATATTTTGTAGCATCGGCTATTGATCAGTGAATATTTTATTATTCGATTTTAGGGGAGATAAAATTGAATAAGCATTAAAAGCATCGCCTTATCGGATCCTACACGCAGTCTCCATAATTTTGTTTCTAATGTATCACAAGTTAATATCTAACAACTCTGAAACATTTCTAGGCCATTGTAATAATATATTGATATATTCACATATATATTAAAACAATAATCAAAACAGAGTACTTGAATACCTCCAGTGCTCGAAACAAGCCTTCATGAAGACCCACATGTTTGGGTTGAAACGTCGTTCTGATTATTTATCACCCAAGATACACTCGACTGACTACCTTCAATAATTCGTATATATTAAAATATAAATTCTATAACATGAATATATTAAATTAATGCTAGTAAATGTTGTAAGGTCTATAATTTTTTATATAATAATCATCAGAAATGATTACAATAAAACGTTAGTATTAAAAGAGCATTAATAAAATAAAAATTAAAAATAAATAAAAACATTCAAAATTGTGAAGATTATAAGTACACTGAACTCCTGGACTTAAGCCAATGCCAACTGAATCTCTTTGATCAGTCCATACAGAACCGTTTTAATCTATATTTTTTTAGAAAAAGTTTAGTGAACTTTAATATTATAGTTTAGTTGGTGAAGGGAGGCGATTATTGTTTTCTTGTTCGTTTTACAATAATTATATGTATAATCGCTCATAATGTTTATAGATAATATAAAATCACGAAACTTTTTGGGGGTCCATTGCCCCTCCCCTCTAAAATATAATGGAAAGTGTGCCCCAATTGTTTAGGTACTCTAAGAAAATTTCAAATTCACTTCATACGATCTCTTAGAACCATTTCTTTTTATTAAATTTTTTGTAAACTTACGTTTTTGGTTAAAAATAATTTGCATCTCTTGTTGCAGTGTGATCCAAAATTGCTTATAATATAAAATACACATGTGTACGTACTTCATCCATGAAGTGATAAGTAGATCTACTCTTGCTTCTTTTGGTTAATTTTTTTTATTTTTTACGTTGAATGTCAAGTATTATAATCAAGATATTCTAAAAATTAGTATTTATAAAATGTTAAACATTAAATTTATATTTATGTTTGAGTTTACTTAATAATGGTAATAATTTTGACAGACCATTTGACAATATCTTTTGGTCGTTACTAAAAACAGTGTATAAGATTTACATAAGCTTACATGCTTGTATGATTAAATATTTTTCTGTCATTGTGTGAGTTTGAACATTTTTTTTTCAGTCTGAATCGGATTCTGAATTTTGGAAAATTTCCAGAAAGGAAATGAAATGTCGTATTTTTGGCTAGCATATGTTTGCTTAAGTAATTTTAAATTTAGGGACTTCTCCCTCCCCTTCGAATATCAATTCTCAGGAACGTGCAACGTTCCTAGGGCAAGTAAAAAAAAGTGCCAAGTTTATAAAAAAAAAAAAAAAAAATGTTTGAATACTTAATTTAGAATCTTGGAGTTCCTTGATATTAGATCACATTTTAAAATAGTTCTATATTTATATTCTATTTCTAAAGACAATATCTTCCTAAGCTAATATTCCGTTTTTTTTTTTTTGTTTTTTTTTTAGAATTTTTAGAGATATGCAGTGCTTCCTGGGTTTATAAATGTTAATGACCTGGTTTTGCAAATATTATATGGATTTCATGTTGTATGTCTTAGTTTGTTCACAACTTTGAGACAAAAATCTTCCATAAAAGTGTTCTAGGAATTCTAGATCGTATAAGGATACGGAATAATAGATTGTATGCGTCTCTCGATACATTTTACGGAAGCTCAGCGGACCTTTGAAAAAGTTGAAATTACCAAGAGTTCCAAACTGCACGGTCTCGTGCCACAATTTTCAAACCAGTTCCCATCCCCTTTCCTTAAAATACCATAGAGAGTGTTAGGACAAAGCTTGACAAATACATATATGTATATATTGTTTTATTTTATTTATTAGCCAATCAAAAATGTGGAAAATTAGATTAAATTTGCAACCTGCAAATTTCTTTTCAATAAGCAAATTTTTTAGCAGCTTCGCAGCTTCCCATTACGTCCAGGATATAAATCAGATCAGCAGGTCTCTTGGCCAACGCCTACGTAATCGTCGTAGTGGGCTGTACGGGTTTCTTGTACGATGAAGGATTTCTGTCAGAGGATTCACGTTATACGTCAGTCTTTGGTGAAAGTTATTGTAGTTCTCTTTTGCAGTATCTAAAATTGTAGGTACGTTTAAGTCTTTATCATTTGCGACATAAAACGGCGCAACTATCAACTATCCTTTGCAACACTTTTGTCTGAAAGGTTGCAAGGAGGTTTTAATGTTGGAAGTTTTAGCAGAGCGCCACAGTTCTATGCCGTAAGTCCAAATAGGTTTAAGTAAGACTTTATAAAGGTTTAGTTTGTTAGTTAAAGATAATTTTGAACGTCTGTCAAGTAATCTGGATAAGAGACCGTATCGTCTGTTTAATTCTATTCGCTTTTGTCTGATGTGAGTCCTCCAAGTAAGTCTTTTGACCAGGTAAAAACCTAAATACCTAATTACATCTGATGTTGGGATTTGAATGTTATTAAAATATATTTATAGGGAAGGTTTATAGTTAAGAGTGAATACTACATGCACACTTTTTTTTTTCATTCATCTTAATTTTCCACCTTGTTGCCCAATCTGCAATATCGTTCAGATGATTATTATTATTATTATTATTTATTATTTGAAAAATAAAATAAAAAATAGTTCAAAATAACTAAATAACCAAAAATTACGATATATATTCGCAATTTGCCATTTTTGTTCATTGTTCCTACCTGCGCCCTTGTATATTGTCTCCGTTGTTTATTGCACATTTAATCTTCCTAATGTGCCGTGTACCATTAACAACACATAGATCAGGAGCTTCCTTGACAGTACGGGAGGTGATGTGCTTCCTGGATTTACAAATGCCAAGGACTTCGTCTTGCCATTCGTTTCTCACCACATCAATAATTATAATATTTATTATAAAAACATATAATTGTATTTAGTTTTATCTCACCTAACGTCTCTTAATTTAAAAGATCGGCACTCACTTCATGGCAAATGGAAAATTATGGCAAATCACAACAAATAACACTTACGCTTCGATGTCCTATACAGTATGTGACCTTGGACTGCTATTCGACAGAAGGATGACCTGGAGTCTACCTGTTTTAATGAAAAGAAAGACTTTAAACATGCTAATGAAAATAAAATACTATTTTTTCCTAATCAAAATTGAAAATCAGACAAAAACTAAATACATATACATACCTGCTTAAACCCATAAGTAGGTACAGACTAAGGTTTGAGCAAAATACAGGCATTTACAAAAACTATAATCTTTCACTCCAAAACTTTTAAGACATGTAGCAGCAGCTCCTTGGTACGTAAACAATAAAACTTTACATACCGACTTACGACAACCAAAATAGACCAGGAAGAGATACGACCGGGTACTATCCTTCCTTATGACATTTAGAGGTGACGATTTAATGAAAAAACAATTTTTTTTTCTTGGTATTTAACTGTCTTGTTTAAGGAACAGCCTAAAATGTCTTGCTAGAGTTAGTTGTCTTCGTAATTTGAGAGATCAGATGTGAAATTTAACTTTACTCTAAATTTAAAAAAAATTTAAATTAATTCGATTCAAACATATTAAAAGTGTGATTTGTCCAAAGTTCATGACGTTCAAGATGTATATTTGCTGCAAACCTTACTATTGGTTGACGTTTGTAAGTATTTATTTCTAGCTCATGTTAGAAGTATAACAGGTGTATATGACAATGACAGATGTTTTGATGCCGCCAGATGGTAGTTACACTGATTAGTAGTAATGTTAGCCCCCTCGAGTTCCTCCCTCCTCGCTCCGATGGTCCCGAGTTCCGTTAAGCCTACCGTTAATTGCCCTAACAGAATCGATAGCTCATGAACTGAATCGATTCGGTGGATTGGCCACTTGGCGGTGATAAATGTTCTCTCGTCGCGTGATTCAGCCAGCGTTCAAAACCGTTGCCCTTAATCCCAGGTACCGTGTTGCCGCCTCGGATAGCTGAAACACGAAGAAAATTCGTGTTATCAGTTTATTTTTTTTTTTGTTTATCATAATTTTATAAAATATTACATTAAATATTAATACATATGTATTTGTAAACAAGTCCAAATGCTTTCACTCCACAATAATCTCAATTATAAAGACCTGCGGTCACAGCTAGATCAGTGTATAAAATCTCTATGAAAGGATCTGTTCTAATTTACTTCCTCGGGACCTAGACATTAACTGGAAAGAAGTATTGAAAGATATGAGAGGAAAATCCTCCGCAAGATAACTGAACCTATCTGAGATCAAATATTACAAAATCTGGTCATTCAGAAAGAAGGTTGAAATGGGCGATTGGAAATTCATTCGAAATAATCTACATTACAATGCACGCCTCAATAGTAGACAAGACATAGATTGGACCAATAAAGGTGCTGTAGATCTACATGCTGATAACTAGGAAGCAGTAGCAAAAATAGAGAGAGAGATAAAATTGGCTAAAGAGGCAAAAGATCTACAAGATGTGTAATGCCAATAGAAAAATGCAAACAAAAAAACAACTAAGGTGTATGCTTTAGACCACCCGATAGAAGTGAAAACATCAACTAGGCAAGATTAATAATATCAATCTAATTCACTCTACAAAAACAAACAAAAAAAAAACGCGCAATACGCGTGTAAAGAATTTTTCACTTCAAAAAAATAACCATAAGTGTATGAAACTAGGAAATGGCGTACCCCAATAGAACGACATTGTACTGTAACATATAAGCCAAAATTTAATTCCAGAATATAATTCGGCTCCTATTCTTTCAATGTGATAGAAACAAACTTTCTATACAAGATCCAACCCCAATCACTTCCTCACATAAACTTTCAACGTAATAAGACCTCACCAATCACTGATCCCTTCGTTGTCCATAAGGGCACAATAATATTATAATGTTATAATTTTATTGTTATTAATTATCATTAATAATTTAAGTTTAGAAACTCATATCTTAATAATTATATATCATGGAAAATGAAAGGACGAGAAGTAGGTTAAGTGAGGTGGCTTGAGGTGTGGTCGTATACTTGAGTAAGTGCTAAGGTAGCCATCATTAGGTAGTTAAACACCACCGTATGTTCTTTATGGTGATGATTCAGATCATATGGTGTGTGTGTATGAAGAGAGTTTCAGGAGTAAGTTTCCTAACTGAAAATATGAATTAAGGATCTCAAAAAAATAATAAAAGGTCCTATAAAGGTATGTTCGTTAACCCTCTGTTTAGAAGATATTCACTTCTAAAGATTTTCATTGTTATGAATTAATAAATAAATAAATAAATTAATATGAGTTGCAACTACTTTATTAATGTAATGTAAATATCAACATTCGTATGTTCAATGTGATTATCTTAAAATTAACACAGGTTAGCATTTTTTGTTGTTTCGCAAATTTTATTTAACCTTCTTCGTGAAAAATTAAGAACATTCATTAGGCTTGATTAGGTTTTTTGTTTAATGCCACCTGAAATAAACAAAATCCAGTGTTGTCTGATTCAACATTATTATTTATTATTTCTATGGCAACATGAGTATTCTGCGAAAGCGCAAAAACAATCAGATAAATGTTATTGAGAGTTCCGAGATCTATTTCCAAATAGTATTATTAATCCTTAAATTGTCCACATTTTATATAACATTAGGAAAACAAAGTTATGTTAGTATTGTATCTTATCTATTTAATATCTCCTAAAAAAAGCGTTGAGCAACATATATTCATAAGATTTTTGAAGTGAAAACTTTTTTAGGCGTGTTTTGCACTTTTTTTGTCGAGAGTGGATTACATTGAGCCGTCACGTCTCCGATGTGTAACGCTCGGGTATGATCGACTGTATGAAAGTATTTTTGCATATGGATTAATGCATATGCATATGGATCTCAAAAACTTAAAATAGGACCTGCATACTATAAGGATTTATAATTTATATTTCATATCGTTAATCTCACCTTGTTGATGTTTTCACTTCTAACATGTGGTCTAAAGTATAGTGTTTTCTTTTAGAGATTCCTAATCTAATTCTTTAGTTACGACACTTAACCCTGAAACACCCTGCATATATATATATATATATATATATATATATATATATATATATATGCAGGGTGTTTCAGGGTTAAGTATCGTAACTAAAGAATTTGATTAGGAATCTCTAAAAGAAAACACTATACTTTAGACCACATGTTAGAAGTGAAAACATATATATATATATATATATATATATATATATATATATATATACACACACACACACATCAATTCCTGGTGATTATTTATTTGCTTGTAAGTACATAATTTTAACAATAATTGGCCGACATATCTGCTAAATTTTACCAGAATCTAGGAAATGTTTCGGTTCACACAGAATAAAGCATTATTAGCATTAGCTTATAAGGTATTATTGTTTTTATTTCTTAATAAAATATTGTTTTCCAACAAAGTCTTAGTCTTCTAAATAAAGTTTTGTTAGAAAATCATACCTTCTTAGTTATGGCCAGTTTTGGTTTCGTCCATCACCCCTGCTGAATGGCGTTGACTGGTAGCCCACCCGCGACCATTAGCAGATCATCAACACCTTGCAAGAACGGTAATGACCCTACCAACGGCGGTGACGGTGCAGTAACTTTGCTCCTCCGCATTCCTGGCGATCCTAGTCCAGTGGAAGTCCTTGTATCCTTGTGTCCGGGGCAGCACTTGGAGGATAGTGAGGAAACTGAACTGTGACTTTGTGTTAAAATGATAAGGCCAAAAATTACGATTCTGAAATTGAGAATTCAGAGAAAATTATGCTAAAAAAAATAGATTTTTTATTATTTTAATTATTTAGGTGAAAAAACAACTAAAAATATTCTGTTTATTAGAAAAAATAAATAAATAAAAATTGCAGAAGTATAAATTTAGTTTAAACTCTTAATTATTTTAAGTAAATGTTTTGTTAATTTTTGCAAAAATATTGGTTATGATAATAAACTTGTTTATATTTTACCTTGGTTAATTTTTTATGGTTTAAGGATATGTGTGTACAAACAGTGGTTTTAATGAGGGCGTAATTTGTATAAATAAATATTATATAATATAAGAAATGGCATTTATGAATGCTGCACAAAAACACACGGAGATCGCGTGTTCCTCACCTGTGACGGAGTTTGGTTTTGCATGATTCATAAAACTAAGTAATCATATTCAAATAAATAATGTTAGTAATTGTAATAAACCGTTTATATACTTCATCCACGCAGAAGGATAGAAGCTAATCAAATATATATTTATATCTATGTTTATAATACTACAATATTTGTATTAATCGACCTTAATAACTTAAGTAATTATAGTCAGATAATAAGTCATGAACTACACTTCAATAAACTAAAACAGCTCCTATTTATTATTTTTATTCTAAAACGTTTCGATCCCTGTTTTTTAAAATAAATAATGGGATCCTCCTGAATTCTGGAAAAACAATACCTATCATTGGTACAGAAAAGAAATGTTTTCATACATTTTAACGATAATCATAAGTTCATCTTACTTTTTTAAAATTGAATTGCCAAGCCAGGCAGCAAGCTGACAGCCACAATATATGTTTATATTCAATACCTATACACATACACATATAATCAAATAGATAGAAAATAAACTTTATTTTGTGACAAGGTTCCTTAAGATTTTTAAAGCGGAAATCGAAAAATTTACTATCAAGTATTCTGGCATTGGAATAATATTTAAAATCAAAAAATATTTAATAAAAATATATTATTCATTTAAATAATTTATCAGGAAGCCTAAACACAATAATGAATGGGTCAATAGTAAGAGACCGCGTAGAAGTCCAAAAACCAGCTAGACAAATCGAATCGACAAAGACGTAAATGAAGCTGTATGCTGATAACTGGAAAGAAATAGCCAATGATAGGGAGAGATAAAGAAGGTTGTGAATCTACAAGGTCTGTTATACCAACCGAGAAAAAAAATTAAATAAATAAATATAATATATAATTCACTTGTTTTTACTCGATAATGACTTGGTGGACGAGTAATCCAGATAAAGAAAAGGGAGTCGTTACTATCGAGTAAGAAGTAGTAAACTAAAACTAATATAAACTATTATATTTCCATTTAGTATATTGAGAGCAAACTTTCAAATATTGTTAATAATGTTTGTATTGCATTGTTATTCCGTGAGATATCCATCTCAGATATAAATCTAACTGTTCGAGTAAGGAGCACTTTCTACTTTCGTCGGAACTGCATTTCACTCCATCTTCGGTAAGGCCACACCCCGTGACCGATGGTACTGATGGTGACAAGACGTCAATGGGAAGCTCGCCCTAGATTCGACAGATGGCTGATCCTTTCCACATCCATTATTCAATCAGGGCCCGTCAAATCCTCCATTTCCATTTTAGATTGACCCAATACTGTCCGCCTCCGCTTTTCTTCCTCGAGATTTTTCTCTGGTCAGAGTGTTCCCCATCTGTCCCGGGTGCGGGAGAATGTGGAATGAATACCTTGTATACAAAAATTGGATTGTCCCTTTCTTTTAAAATATACAAATCTTTTATTCATTGTGTTCAGAAGTGGCCCTTGTGATTTAATTTCCTTTGAATATTTCTTTTTTAATCTAGAGCAAAACTGTTAATTCTAATACAGTTGGTAAATAATAATAATTACATAACATTCTAAAGAAAAAGAAATTAAATACGATACCATATCTCCCTAATTAACTATTGGCTTCAAACCAAATCCTGCGATTTTACTCTCAACAGTTTGATGCATTATATATTTCTGGTTTGTCGAGATTAAAAATAATTTTAAAATTTTACATTTAGAATGCAAATTTTGTTAACTTTAGAAACAATTAATCTCATTTTCTAATATATTTTTTAATTTCGTTTTTGTCACTCTCCATTTCATTTGCCTACTGTACATGTTAAACATTAATTTTTATTAGTTTTTTTAGCTTTCCAACATATCACACTATTAGTCCGTCGTACAGACCCCTTTTTATCAAATTATTAACATCCGCCTGAGGCTTCGTAAATAGTTTCATCTCATCGTGACCTACAAATATTTTCTTTACGAAAACTCTTGGAATCGAAAACTTTTCAATCTGGAGGTCGGCAAACTTTGTATATTTAATTAGGTATTTAAAACTCGTAAATACCCATTTTCTTTCCACTTGGATCGTAAGATAATATAATCACAAAATCGATAGCAAAAGTGGACTACAAAAATATTTTCCCGTTTTTCTTATTATTTTAAAAATTTGAGGAAGGTCACACCAATTGGCTCAATATTTTAGGCCATCTTTTTTTCTCGATTTGGACTTATCTGACGATTGAAATGGAAAGGAAATAGGTATTTAGGAGTTTGTAGTGCCTAATTAAGTAGATAAATTTTGCCGATCTCCAGATTGAAATCGCCCCAATTCCAAGAATTTTTGTAAATAAAATAGTTGTAGGTTACGATGAAATGAAACTATTAACGAAGTTTCAGACGGATGTTAATATTTTGATAAAAAGAGATACCACGTACTATATGGTACGGGAAAGTATTGCGATTATGGAAAATTTGGAATCCAAATTTTTAACGGAAAAACAAGTTGTTTTTTTTTACATTGTCCCTTTTTTTTATTTTTTGATGTGTTCTATGGTCTAAATACTCTCATTTTACTGCATGTTTTGCATTTTAAGGAGGTTTATGTGATCTTAATAGTTTCTTGTCTATTTATATTCTTTGTACTTTCTAAAAAGGTGATGGGCCTCATCCTTCTTTTTAAGTTGAACTTAGACTAAAATTAATGATAAATTATCTTTCAAGCAGCGTTTGCCAACGTTGAGGTAATCGAGAAGCTTTAAATTGGTCAAACACGAGAT